TGGAGAGGGGCATTATCTCACAGCATCGATGAACTGGCTTAAGCCGGCATGGGAGCGAGAGACGAAGTCACAAAGTGGATGTAGTAGAAGTAGTGGAAGTGGTCTCGGAGGAACGAAGGGATTCCAAACAAGGCCTCGAAAAGGATATTTGGATTTGCACTTCCAAACTGGATATTTTTAATTAAGTGCATCAAATGTACACGCTGTATTTTGACAAAAATATTTATATTATAATAGTTCACAACGAAATAAAACACAGGACAAGTTGTTTAGTAAGCTTTTTCGATTTGATTGAGTGCACAAAATGTCAGAATGTCTAGACTAAAGGACCGTAGGGTGCCTGGTGTTGTACGATCCGGAGACACTTTCCAACAAGTTCAGAAGGAAAAACAGAGCGGGGTTTAGTGACGTTACCGACAGGGTTGGACAAGAATACAACGACAATAGACCTTTTCACTGACGAATCATAATTATGCACGCACGCGCACAAATGGCCTTGGCGGCAAGAAGTGTGAGCGGGCCATTGAAAAGTTACTTGTACATGTACATGTACATGTACTGTATGTACATGTACATAGCTCACCATTGAACCTGGTCTAGCTTGGATTTATACCGAAAGAAATGGTATCCAGGTGTTGTGTTTGGGGTTGTACGTCAAGACAAAGTGTAGATTCCAACGAGAAAGGGATCTGGTTCTTCAGATTTCACAAGTGCAGACAGCAGCGTATCGAATGGGTACAGTACTTGAACATTGAACAGACGAGTTTACAAATGCACAGGTTGGCTCCCAGAACACTAACGATGTAATTCATACTACTTCATGGAAAGGGCCATACTAAGAAACGGCTAGTCTTTTCATAGAACACTGGAAAATCCTACTTGGATTAGAAACTAACGATTTAATGGGATTTTCTAAAGAAAAACTGAGCAAAGCCAGAAAAACTGAGAGAAAATGATCATCAAAGTTGCGCTCCTGTATCTTTTCAATGGCCCACTCACACTTCTTGCCGCCAAGGCCATTTGTGGGCATGCGTGCATAATTAAGAATCTATTAGTGAAAAGGTCAATGGAATGCAGTTAAAGCCTGCAATGCTTGTCACTTTTTGATTGGTTGACTGCCTAGCAGCTTCGACTTCTGGGGACGGACAGACCCGTCTGAATAGAACGTTGGAGATGAAATATGAAACATGTCCGTGGGATGATACAGAGAGTAAATTACAAACCCCAAATCGGCCAATTTTGAAATATGACAGGACATGCAAATCATGTACACCACCTTTAAATAATCCCTTCTCAGAAGCACCTTGAGCATCACGATGGACGCCATTTTTTTTTGTGCACACAGCATGTCATCACCATTTTAAGACCATTAATTTTTTGTTGAGGGCATACGTAAACAATCCATAGGGCCTATACGGTACATCGGGTACAAAAAAGAGCGCTCACGGGGCCCGGGTTGAGCGCCAACGCCTGGCCAGAGCTAGACTTGAATAAAGTCGGGATCTCTGTGTCACCAGCTCGTTTCTGCTTGCGATACGTCGAGACCACCGAGACCGCACGCTGTTACTTGCTTTGCACCTTCTTGTGTCCACTTATTACTATGAGTTCAGTTCAGAAATGCTGACTTGACGAAAGCTGCCAACCGTTTGTACACAGCGAATGGGCTCATCTACCAAAAGTGGTAGCAGCCAATCACACTGCCGGTCTTGTTTTTACGTCATTCAACCTGCATTATAATAAAAGAGTCTACAAGCCTGACTACTTTGATTGGTGGAAATTCCGTATACATAATGCAAGTTTATGTCGTTCATATGCAATCATGAATAATTACGTATTTCCGACGGGGGGTCTGATTGGCTTATCCGTCAAGTCGGACTTACTGACTGGTGACGTATGTATGACCCACGTTGTACAATAAAGGCTATAAAATGAGGGCACCTTATAAGGGTTATGCTAGCTGCCAACAAGCGGCCAGGCCGAGCGTGACAATCTTGTAGTGCGTAACGGCTGAAGGGATAGCTGACTAGGGAAGAGCAATGTAGCCTAAGTCGGACTTGATTCAAGCCTAGGCCAGAGCGGACCGCGATGCGGCGGCAGCTGTGCGCGCTCAGCTGCCTTTAATTCTCGTGATTAACGAATAGGACCCAATATTTTGTTCGGAAATAAGTTTGGCTACAATAACAGAGCAATACTATTTACTCGAATTAAGTCGAACTTTAACAGCTTGGAGAAATCTAAAGAGAACAACTCCACTTCAACTAAATTTTAAAATTTGAAATGGAATATCTCACAACAAGTTCACTTCTTTATTTAAATATCTATCATTACCATTAACATGTTCATATTTTCCCCACTCCTTACGCCAATAGCACACAGGAACCCCCCATCATGTATTTGTATTTTAAATCATTTCCCGAATTGATGCAGAAAACAGGCTAAAATTGTTGAGATATTAAAGTAAAATCTTTCCATTGACATGTGGGGCAGATTACAGGATGGGGCAATGTCTAGGTCTCATGCTGAGGCAAATTGCAGCTGAGTTTGAATAGCAGTAACACGTGACTCTGTCCAAAGTCTGTGCGTTTACGCTGCTATGTAAACAATGTTCATTACAATACTTTCAATGACCACATCGGCGCTTACACGATAACGACAGTTATCAATGTTTTCAACAGAAAGGTCGCATTTGCTGACCTTTCAATTCCGCCTTGTCATGCTTGCAAGTCTTGTTGGCACAGAATCAAAAAGTGTTTTGATTTAATAAAGCATTTTTTTACTTTGTTGAAAAGTGTCAAAATACTAAATGTTTTTGCATTATATAGTGATATGTTTTTTAATCTGTATACTTGGTCTGCCAGTAGAATTATGCCAGTGGAGTAAACTTTCTTCTTTTTACACAGTCATATCAGTTTGAATATATTTTATTAAATTCCAACCCCCGTAGGCCTAGTATGGCACCGAACGTTCATTTAATGTTACCTTTTTGGGAGGTGGACCTTTAAAATTCCACACAGTTATCCTATGGTTACCGAGGGAAACTTAAGAGATATATTTTCAGCTCTGTGATTGTCTCGTTTCTGTTTTATTGAGCTTCGCTCTGGGAAAATAATTTTAAACACCACCAAAAGGGTGCCGCTTGTCTTCGGTAAAAAAGTGTAAGCATGTTCTCGTTTTTAATATTGAAATTACTAATCAAGTGTTCTCATACTGACTTATCATATTCGTTCGGCCCAAAACGAGCCTAAGTGAGCCGCTTCATGCGGCAGACATTTGGAAAGCCGTACCTTGTGCCTCAGGACCTTTTCATTGTATTTTTCGAAAATAGGCTACTCGATCATTTTATCGAGTGGTGAGTGGTGAGGGAATGCGCGACCTTTTCACGCCTTTACCGTATCAGGCCTGAAGACTAATCTGGTCAACCTCGACTCCAAGGCCTACTTCAGTTTGCTGAATTCAGTTCTGAATCTGCATTGAAACGATATGCTACTCAAAGGTTGCTTATTACCTAGCCAAATGCCGAGTGACTACACAAGCAGACTGTACGCACGGTACCACCGCCCCCCCTTGTTTCAGGCATAAATTGGGACAAATATTAACATGCCACTGTGGGAGGGTCACAAGTTACGTTCTTCCTCTTGTGCTTAAACCCATCTTAGGTGTTAGGCTACATTTTGGTGCTATCAACTTTTTAAAGTGTGCTTTTGGCTCTAACTGGGGAAGCATGGCACCCGTTGTCTCCCCTTTAAAACTGCGTTTGCGGACGCTTAGCCAAGTAAGCAGCGATCTTGGGGTCCTTGGCAACGCGCTCCATCAGGGCTACCAACCTCGGATACTTCTTGACCTCGTTCTGATCCAGAAATTCCATGCTGACGTAAAAGAAGATGTCAGCGCGAGAAATCTGGGAAAGCAATTCCAAAAACACTGGGATTAAAACAAACTGTTGATCGTTGTCAGATTTACACTGCCGGTGTTTCAAACATATCAAAGCACTTGTGGCGCATATCAAGTGTCTCTTATAATTATGAATGGCAAGATACATCCATCACACCTAAAATGATTGAACTCTAAACTAGTTGTTTGAGCAGTACGCATGCGCCAAGATGAGTCAAAATCACGAGTGTTGCATTATGGGGAAGTAATTATGTCCTACGTTTTACCAAAGTCTCAAACTCTTAATTACCTTGGAACCGACCAAGAAGCCATCACCACCGTTGTTGTCTACCAGCATCTTTTCAAGTGCCTTGAAGAACTTGGGAGTAGTTTCGGCATAAAATTTCGCCAGTCCCTCTTTCTGAAAGAAATAGATGCCAAACTTTCTTTTCACGCACACTTCAGCTGTTACCGGTATTCCCCGATGTAGTGTTGAGGACTTCTCTGCAGTCAGATATATCTCCACAGTGACAGTCAAAGGTCTCATAACTCTAGGCTCATTGGGTTATCTCAGAGCTCCTCCAGACGAAGTGTTAAAGTGATCAATGACCTTGTTGGACATTTTATCGTCAAGAATGATACCTTCGGGAGATACTGGACACCAGAGAGACATAAGAAGTTCCAAGTCGTCAAAATTTGTGTACAATTTTACGGAAATCTCCCCCAAACAAGGTACCATTTGAGGGTAAAGTATTAAAAAAAATTTCTGTTCAACTTTGGCGGCAGTTTGCTAGGGCGTATACTCCAGGATGGTGATATATATGCCCCTACATTTTGACCGCGGGTGGGTTATTGGATCCCCTCCCCTAGCTTTTGTGGTAAGGGAGAAAAGGCGAATTTTGTCTTCGAATTTACACCAAACGGCTCAAATTAAGCTGTTTTGGTGTAAGGTTAAGGGGTATATGTATACGTCTGTATCTTGAACAGCGCCACCTAGTGTGTCCATCTCCCCATGCTCATGTGCTTTTTGAATTTCCATGCTCGGCCATTTTTTTAGATTTCAGTCATCCCCCATCGCTCCTCGTCACAAATTTACACCACCGTAGTTTGACATGGACTCACTTCGAGCCCTACCGTAATGTTCCAGTCGGCTATTAGCCACACAAAGGTTATCGCATCGCATGCAAGAACAGATATGACCAGATGGGCAATCGATGAGATTCCATAAAAGCAGTTTTGAGAATGAGTTTTCATACAAGACTTGAGACTATCGTTATGGTTTGTTAAGCGCGAGTTACCTTCTTTTCTTCGTCCTGTTCATAAAAGATTTTGCTGAGTGGAATTCGAATGTCTTCAAGAATAGCATTGATGACGTCAATTTTAGTCGTCTCCTCGTTGTTGGCACCATTAAAGCCTGCACGAAAAAAGACAAAAACACATTGTATGACTGTATTTGGAAACACAAATAACATGCGATTTTTTCAAGGACAGTTTCCCTTTGTGGTCCTTTACCGTGAAACTTTGATTGAAACTAGCCTCCAGTCAAGGTGCACTTGGCATCCATGATACCAGTACTGGTACAGTGGTGGCACGAAAAAAGACAAGTGCAAGAGGCAAAGCCACAAGACTTTATTATCTCCAGGAGGAGGCTTATCTTTTTCTTAATTTCTCCACCGATTGGGCAGAGAAATTCTCATCACGCATAATACAGGGACGTGCATATGTCACGATTAAAGGCTAAATGGAAATCACTCATAGTCTATCCATGACTGGCATGTTTGAGGAGCGAATAAAGCCGGCATGGAGTCCTCAAAATGATGGAATACATTGATATTAATTCTATGCAAATTAACAAAAAGTAAAATCAGTGTACCTGGAAAACAGGCATAATCCTTGAAGATAAAGTTTACGACACACCTCTTGCTGGTTATAAGGGGCGCATTCACATTACTGCATCTGCTGGTATTGGTATGCCCTGGCCTTTGTCATCGATGCCTGCATACGAATGCGTAAGTATTGCACTACTGAACGCGACCCTGGTTGGTTGAAACACTGTCACGTGTGGTTCACTAATAGTTATTTCACAGACTTTATTGGACACGCACAAAGACATCTCGCGTGCGTGAATTCAGGAGACTGGTGCCCGGTCAGGCACTAGTGCTCCGGAATATTTTGACTGGTTACAGCTCCTTCATGTTATGAAAATAGTGAACACTGTTAACTACGAAACTGTACCTGGTAACCTCATTGCCAGTCTATTTAAATAAACGACCAATTCTGCAACTTACCGAACTCCCTGGCCACGAAGCCGTGCATGGCACGGCTCTGAGGGATAATCTTCCCGTCGACTTCCAAGTAAGGCAACTGCTGCATAGGAGCCTCTGCCGAAGAGAAAAATGACGTCAAGTGTGATTTGAGGCTCCCAAAACGGATATTGTTCAATACAACCTGGTTCCAGATGCGCGCTATAGTTCGTTTTACGCCTTCATGTCACAGTGGTCAGCATCAAGTAACAGCAACATTTGGTTGTAGCTTCCATTAAAATTTGCATTTGGGTTACGCTACCCCCAGTTAAAGTCACACCCCTGGGGTCTTTTAATCATCTCATCTATATTTAAATTTTTATTTTACATTTCAATTCATGAACATTTTTTTGTGTTATTGCGAAATGTAATATTTTAACAAATTGATTAAAATTTTGATATGCTAAATCAAAGAGAATTCCTGAAAGAGACAATAAAACATAATATCGTATCCTCTCGCATCGTATCGTGTCGTATCGTATCTGTATTTGTCAGCTACACAAACGCCAATGGTATAGCGCTATCACATGCAGGGAACGCTGTCATGGTGCCAGTTGGTATTACATTTTGAAATGCAATTTGATAGAGAGTTCGCTAATATTAATATTGTCTAAATGAGTTCTGAAGGAATTCAATGTGGGTTGGTTTTTTTTTACAAAGTCGGGGAGGAGATTGCATTCCGGAATTGCCCATGGATACAGTGAGGGAAGGTGGTTTCTAGCTTTTGTTGGCCTGGATTCGTTGAAGATTTAAAGTACTGTTGGTCTGTCTAGATAAACGTTTGGAGTAAACACTGGAAGGATGGTTTTGCAGGTGAGAAAAAAACCCAAGGCTTATACCATAAATCTCCTTATAAATGTGCATAGTCGAGCTCTGGTACGTCTGTCCTCTAGAGATTCTCAACCTAACTAACTGACCCTTGCAGAAACACTTGATGAGCCGCTATAATCCTTTAAGACGAAACTGGCTGCTTCTCTCTGGATCTTTTCAAGTTCACTTACTGTGTTTTGTTGGTGAGGATCCCATACCGCATGACAGCACTTAAGCAGTGGTCGTACAAATAAACTACTGCCTTGGGGTGTTACAGCCATGGAGAGATCTTTTCAAGAGACTATAAGGGTCTTCTTAGCTTTGGCGGCGATTTTATTTATATGTGTACTCTAAGTCATATCAGAGGTGAGTTCGACTCCTAATATTTGAGTATGAGTGATGTTTGACTTCATTAAGCGTGTTTAACGGTGCTGTTAGTTTCTTTTTATGAGTCACCCTCATGGAGAAGCATTTGGAACGATTAAACCCCATCTACCAAATGGATTGCCAGGTACATAGACAGTCAATGTCTATGGTATAGCGCTATCACATGCAGGGAACGCTGTCATGGTGCCAGTTGGTATTACATTTTGAAATGCGATTTGATAGAGAGTTCGCTAATATTAATCTTGTCTAAATGAGTTCTGAAGGAATTCAATGTGGGTTTTTTTTTTTTACAAAGTCGGGGAGGAGATTGCATTCCGGAATTGCCCATGGATACAGTGAGGGAAGGTGGTTTCTAGCTTTTGTTGGCCTGGATTCGTTGAAGATTTAAAGTACTGTTGGTCTGTCTAGATAAACGTTTGGAGTAAACACTGGAAGGTGTGTTTTGTTGGTGAGGATCCCATACCGCATGACAGCACTTAAGCAGTGGTCGTACAAATAAACTACTGCCTTGGGGTGTTACAGCCATGGAGAGATCTTTTCAAGAGACTATAAGGGTCTTCTAAGCTTTGGCGGCGATTTTATTTATATGTGTACTCTAAGTCATATCAGAGGTGAGTTCGGCTCCTAATATTTGAGTATGAGTGATGTTTGACTTCATTAAGCGTGTTTAACGGTGCTGTTAGTTTCTTTTTATGAGTCACCCTCATGGAGAAGCATTTGGAACGATTAAACCCCATCTACCAAATGGATTGCCAGGTACATAGACAGTCAATGTCTGTCCGCAGGATGGCGGAGTCTTCTGGGGGCTTACTTTAGCGATACAAAATGCAATCGTCTGCGAACAGCCTGACACGTGATGATATTACTCACAATAATAATGGCCCTAGCACTTATGCCTTGCGGGACACCTGATAGAACTGGCGAAGGTTTGCAGACTGGCCATCCACAACCACTTTCTGGTGTCTTTTGCTGAGGAAAGCAATTGATCCACCTGCGTATGTTGTTCCTGATTCCTAAATGTCTAAGTTTTACTAGAAGTCGGTGATGAGGAAGAGTATCAGAACCCTTGCTAAAATCCATGATGAGGTCTGCTCGGCTGCGATTCTCCAAGATCAGTTGCAGGTCATTCAACAAAGCTGACAACTCTGTCTGACACAACTTGCCCTTCCTAAAACCATGTTGTTCGTCAGCTAGGATTCCATAATGCTCAAAGTGTTCCATGATATTACCGTGAATTATATGTTCCGGGGGGTTGCAGATAATTGATGTTAAAGACACGGGGCGGTAATTTGCAGGGTCGGACCGATCGATCTTTTTTATGAAGAGGCGTGATGTTTGCAACCAATCAGTTCAGAAGGCAAAGTTCCTGTCCGAATGGATTTATGGAAAAGTTTCTGGAGAATTGGGGCGATGCTTGTTGCACAGGCTTGGAGCACAACAGGTGTTATACCACCGGGACCTGGTGATTTGTGGGGTTTTAGATCAGCCAGTAGTTTTGGGATACCTTCAGCGGCAAAGACGAGGTCGGAAGATGTTCGGAAGACTGCTTTCTCCCAGGCAAGGGATTCCAGCCTTATCTTCACTTGTAAAGACTGAGCCAAAACGGCGATTTAGTACATCAGCTTTGTCTCTTGCGTGTGACATTACATGAGTCGCAGTGCGAAGTGGCGAAACACCAGATACCTCCTGACTAAAGTCTAAAAATTGTTTAGTGTTGTCTGATTTAAAACTAGATCCAGTGACGTCTTTAATGTAAGACTGATGGGCTCTCCTAATCTTTCTGTCAACTTGTCTGCGGAATGTTTTGAATCTTGACCAACGGGAGGCAGTAGCCATACTTGTTTACTTGGTTGCAGAGATGCTTTTTAATGTAAATGTCCCACTTAATAGAGCTATTAATCCAAGGGTAGGAGAAACGGATGGAGCGCATTTCAAATGGAACCTATTTATCAATAGAGCTCGCCAGGGATTCCTTGAATGAGACATATAGCTCATCAATACTGTGAGAGTTTAAAAATTATCTGTTAGATCTTTATTGAAGTTTGTCATATCTTCATTAATTCACACCGTCAAAATTTGCCTTGTCATACAAGAACACTTTACGTTTGGGTGGCCTGGGATCTACCGATTGATTTTCACTCCAACAATAACCACGTCGTGATCACTGATTCCACTCTGAGCATGCACACAGTCTACCGATGATGGATTACCGGGGAGACATAAGTCAAGGACGGAGGCTTTGATCATTATATAAGTCAATCATTAACTTGCTTATGGATGAAAACTGGCAGCAATGTCGAAAAGCAACTGCATCCCAGTCAGTGTCTGGCAAATTAAAGTCGCCCAGGAGCCACGTTGAAGCGTTGGGTGGAATACGGGAAAGAGATAGGCCTGCGCCATGTTCCTTGACTATTTTACAATCTGAAGACTACGGCCTATAAAGGGCACCTATATACACTGGTGATAAACCCTTCACGGGAATACTTATCCTTATCAATTTACAGTTGGCTTGAATATTTGTTCCAACTGAAGCTATGAATGTGTTTTTCATAGCAATGAAAACCTTCCTCCCCAGTTGTTTTCGCGGTCGCGTCGGAAAACACTGTAGTGGGGGGGGGGGAGACTTCACTGGAGGCAATGGGACTCTTCGACTAGGATTCTGTGACCACCACAATGTCAGGATTTTCAGTTGCGAGAAGAGCTTCAAAGTTTGGGTGCTTGGCAAGGACGCTGTCACTGATATTCAGATTAAATAGTTGCTGTTTAGTGGTGGACTTGTGTTTTGCAAAACTTTTGTCTTGATTATTAGGACTTGGTTGGGCGTGGTGCTCTTTTAGGGCTCGATGAATAAACTGGCACACCGAGGGAAGATCTGGAATGGACTCGTTTAACATGTCGCTACTGTGGTTACTAAGAAAGCCAAAGCTATAAGATATATTAAAACCCTTGAAGCTTTCCAAGAATGTAGAAGAGAAGTTCGGTATACCGCAACTGCAGCAGGTCCAGGTGTCGGATGGGTGGTCTACAAGGATTTTGTGTATTTCATCAGACATGTGAAGGCAAGATGCATGAAACCATTCAGAAACATTGTCCACTCTCAATAGCTTTCTGGCCCCACTTCGCAGCCTTACGACAAATTTTGCAAGGATATTTTAAGCGTGGTGGGCCAGGATTCACTTCAAAGTCTCCAGATATAAATGCGAGAAGGCATGCGTGCATATTTAATTTATTATGGAGTATGAGCCGATTGCCTGTGCCTATGCCTTTTTAATGAGAAGGAGCAATAGAACGAACTCACTGGGTGTATTCTAGTGAAAAAACTATTGCCTATCGACAGTCCAGCCCATTGGTCGAGCATGAATTCCGGGGGTGATGGAAAGGATCTCTGTACCCATGACACCTATGGAGAAAACCCTAGTGGATCTCACAAAAAAGATGAAAGGTAGGAATGCCCAACAGGAACCAGTGGTCATTTTGCAGCACGAAACACTCAGAAATCCAACATTCAAGGAGAATCACAAATTCACAAGACCCAAAATAAGAATGTCACAGAGTCCTAAAATACACTCACACCGTCACAAGTGAAGGTCGGTGATAATTCGTTGAAGACACAAGATGGCTGGCGTGCATAAAGTTGAAGACACAGGACCGTAATTCCATGATGAACACTAAACACTGGTAAGGAGCAGTACGCTGTTAAAGAGCAGTATTGCTCAGGTAATGAGACTCAAGGGTGTTAAAAGACAAAATACATGTACTTAAGTAGAAATGTGGATGGCAAGACGAGAAATTCGATAAAAACGGATTTAAAACGATCGCGCGAAGCTAACAAATTTTCACAACCTGCACCATGAACAGCGTCGTCACCCAATATATCGTATCTTATCCTATCGTATTCTACCATATCAATATATATTCGAAATGGAAAATAGATTACAATATGATCAAATAATAAAAATTGTAATACTTAAAGTAACAGACGGTTGAAGTTGTAGAAGTGGAAATTTCGACATTGGCAGCATGAAAGAAATTTGTCCGTTGTGTCCCATCGGGGCCATCGTAATAAAACTAATGGCTGCCGTGTTCCGGGGTCATTTCTGGCCTTAGTCTCGGGTTTGGGCGGTTCAGTACAAAAAGAAATCTTTCCCATTTACTTTGTGGAGACGACGGCACTCTTATTGAAGGGATGAAGGGCTTGACGATACCCACCTAAGTGATATGCATGCCAAAAAGGCCGGATCCTGACTCTTTTTTGTTTTTGTTTTGTTTTGTTTTGTTTGGGGGGGGGCAAAACAAGTGAGCAGCGTCCCCAGTGAACTTTAGCATCAATTGATAGCACCAGTCACAATTAACAAGCTTCTGAAAAATGGCTCCGTTCGTTCAAATCTATTTCCATTTAAGACACTTAATATCTTCACTTTTATTGAAGAAAAAAATTAATAAAAAACCTCATCTTTTTTAATTGGGGGATGTGGACCAACATGTTCAAACTTACCGGCTTTGTGCTGGGACCATTCCTCACGCGAGTAGCGAACGTCCTCAAACTCCTGGCCGGCAAGGGCTAGCAACATGCGGGTGGGTTCGGCATAGCCACGGCCCTGGAAGTACACCACCTTGTAAGAAGGCATCTTGAGCGTATGGAGAATAGGAATCGTGCGAGTTACACACAGAACTGTATTGAGCAGCAACAACGGTGACTTCGTCGCGTATGAAGCCCGTGCAGAAATTGAAGCGACTGTGAGCACGATAGTACTCTCAATAGCGGCGCACCACTTGATTATTCGATTCAGCGCTCCTATTATGGGCAAGGTCAAATCCTGATCTATGGTCTTTCAGTGTGCACAACGAGCATACATGCACGCGCTCTTAATAAGTGAAGAGTACACACGATGATTTGGGGCGCGGGCATTGAAAGGTTGCAATGGGGATTCAGAAGTGGCCTCGCAAATGAAGAAGCGTTTCTAGCCGCGTGTGTACGTGACAGTCCCGGTCGTGTCACATTCGTTTGAATATCATTAGTGACGAAAAGGGAACTAAACGATATACTAAATGGGGCCATACTCTGGCTTTAGCGGCTTACAGCGAAATTGGGTGTTTAATAGATGCACTGAAATAAATTGTAAATACAAAATCTACTATTGATGTTGCATTTCCTCACTGAACCTGGATTTCTGCACTTTAACCCCTTTTGTGCACATACATGTGCATCTTTGAAAACACTGACACCCGTTGATCGACTGCTATATGTGAGTTAACGCCAAGTTTCTATCCAGGCGCGGATCAGTGGGGGAGGGGTGGGGATAATTAAGCATAATAGTCTTACTGCTGCCAAACCTTGACGACCTGTGGCAAATGGACCTGAAATGTTCTATGCGAGTCCGCCACCCTGGAAAGAAGAGACGGGCCGGCGGGAAATTCCCAGTCGGGCTTGTGAAGACCCGTACCGTAGACCTGGAGGAGAAAAAAACAAGCGCACAGAAGGAATCAAACGCGTATCCCCGGCGAGTCCTTCATCAACCTCAAGTGGTGGGTTCCTACAGTAGAGCTATACATGGCTCTATGATTCCTACCAAAGGACCCAACCTCGTTGCCATGGTTCCGAAGGACCGTCTTTGCAAAAATGTAAAATGCGCCCTCTGTTGTTTCTGCTCGGAGCTGGCTGGCTGGGTCAATTGATGCAGCATTGTGCCTGTAGCCAGCCATAGCTAGTTCGAGGTTCGAACAAAACATGTACGTGCAAAATTTCCATGGTTATTTTTAAAATTTTTCTAACATCCTACATTAGTCTTAAGTCAAGCCGTAACTTTTAGCAACCCAAATTACAGGATGCTGAGCTCGATAGATCTACAATCTCACCAATGGAACTACGTATATCAACTGCAAGAGCCCAAAACGAAAGACAACGTGGCCACATAGTAACGGTAATAATTTTCATTCGTCATGGTTGTCAGGAAAAAGTTTTCTGTTGCATTTAATTTTGTTCAGGAACAAAGTAAGTGGTCATTCAACTCGAAAAGAATAACTTGCAAGGCCAAACCCTAAGGCCTAGTTTATGGTGGTAGATAACAATCAGTCCCCTGCATGTACCTGCCTCGGTATCCTCTGCGTTCACTGCAAAAATTGTGTCTTTACATTCAACACTTCTATAAATTCTGTGTAAATGTGCAAATGCTAAACATGTTCAGCAGTTGAACACTGGTGAGCAGTGAAAACTATTTATCTTTTAACCTCTGAACAATGTGAACATGCCTGTTAACAAAGTGGTAGCAAGGATTTTGGACAGCGGGAAACATGTTTAGAGTGATGTTATTTATTACAGATACAAACCAAAGTTACAGGTAAATACATTCCCGAATAATTACCACCAATACGCGGATCTATGCCCAATAAAAATTCTTGATGACATCAGGTGAAATAAGCCCCAATGCTGGACGGTTTAACAACAAGAATAGCTCTACGAAACAAGTACAAAGGCTTTTCAGAATTAGTTTCACGAGTACGAAAACAACGCCAGATTCAACCAAATGCCAGACAAGTTTGAAAATTGTCGTGAAGGTTCATGACCTTTGCACCAAACTATCAGAAGCATCCCAAGGCATCTAACAAATATTTCCCCCGTCATTTACTCAAGAATCAGTGAGTTTGTTTCTGCATTCAATTGGGGACCCTGAACAATAGAAGACAATGAGGTCCCCGATAGACAACTGTGTACAAAACGTATGAGTGGTCTCCTAAAAAAGTTGAAGTACAAACAAAAGGAACAATAGGGGGTCCTCAGTCGCAGGCAAATACACACTTGTGTGTTAACTACGGCTTTAAGCAGAAAAGAATCCTCACTCACCAAACTTCCCTTTGTAAGCGTAATAAACAGCTTGAAATGATATACACAAAAGAAACACAAATGGCAGAGACAAGTTTTTGTTCAAAGTTTTACCAACAGACTGTGTTCATATATCGGCCATCTTAAATTGAAAGTGAGGTCAAAGCATTTATTTCGGGAACTTGAGAGTATAACAATTACAGCAACGAAAGAAAAGTTCGTTCAAATTCATGCTGGGTTTTGTTTAGAATAATTTGAAATTTGTGAGAAATATATCTCAATGTTTTAAGCTACATTTAACAAAAATGATAGTGAAGTTTGAAACCCTAAATAGTCTGGTATCCCCTCATGGAACAGATTACACTGAATATGACAGATTCATGGAACTAAGATAAACAAAACTGACCTCGTAAACAAGGTTTATTGGCGCAGCACAACGTACATTAGCATCCGATGACAAAATTCAACGCGCTTGATTTTTCTGCTAATCTTTGCTATGATAGTATTATATTTCTATCTTATGAATCGTCTGCTCACTCTGCTGTTTTTAAGTCGAAGATTCAAAACTCCGTCTTTGGGCGCTTGGCCAGGTAAGCGGCGATCTTTGGGTCTTTTGCCACGCGGCCCTTCAGGGCAGTCAGCTTAGGGTATTTCTTGAAGACGCCGTACTCCTCTTTGAAGAATTCGACGCTGGAAAAGAAGACAATGTCGGCCCGGGACAGCTGCAAATAAAACACGCATGCGTCAAAATTCACCCTGAGAGAAGCCGTCGGGGAAATAAACCCATTAAGGCGAAATGTAAGCCTGAAAAACACTCTGTTTGTATCGGATACAAATATCTTAACTTGACCTAATTTCAAACTGAAAGACTGATTTGATTAAGCAGTTGTTTACATTTTCTCTCTATGCGCTCGTGCATTGCGTGAATAATTTGATGACTCCCGTTGAGGGCTACTTTAGTTACCTTATCTATAATTTTAGAAAACTAAGAAAACCTTGACATTTAATTATGACTTTGATGAAAAATTTATGCGAATTATTGTACAGCTTTACTTAATTTTTCATATTCGGTGTTCCCCACACGCATGATTTTGAAAAATAATTTCACAATAATTGTAATGCAACTTTATAGAGTATTCGTTTCATCTTTTGGGGAAGGGGCCAATACTTTTTCTCTTCACCTTAGAACCAACAAAGTAACCATCACCGCCATTGTTCTTTTTCAACATTTCTTCGAGAGGGGAGAGGAATCTGGGAGCTGTCTCCTCAAGGTAGGTCGCAAAAAGCGCTTTCTGCAATTTAAGTAGAAAAACATTGCCCTGAGTTATCCAACATTAACTCTGAAAGAGCCGGGGCGGAATCCTGCCCTCCTCGACATATATAGATCGTCGCGACGCCTTTCCCCCTCGCCGAGCGTTCTGATGCTTTCCTGAATGTTGGCTTGTAAATGCTTTTACGCCATTTTTATAACAATCGTAAATACTGTTCTTTTGAAAAGCTAATTTCTGTGCCAAGAGGCGTCAACTTTTTCCAGTGTCGTGCTCAATGCATGCAGGCGGACTTCCTCGTGAGGCCATGATGAACTGTAAACTATCATAACAAAATCAATATATCGAATTAGATTGATGCACGCGCAGTTCTACGGGGAGGGGTGGGCTTAAGGCCCCCCCCCCGTGCAAAATTGCCAAAAAAAGTGTGAAAGAGCAGTTGCAAAAATTAAATTGTAAAGTCACTTGCGAAGGGTCAACCCCCCCTCCAAAAATGGCTCTAGAACCTGAGTCGATATACTCATAAAGAGCGTCTTTATGCATGCATGATGGGTGAGCAGGTGTTTCTAGTTCTTGTTAGCCCCCCGGGTGGAGAGATGCGCAGAAAAGCCCCGCTCTTTCGGGGATAAAAACAGACAAGCTCAAAATATTCATGTTTCATTGCAGGAAGCCATCTCTAATGACAACCCAAAGTGTATTTGACATATCAAAATATCACAATATAGAGCGTTAAAGAAGTATTTACATTTAGGGAAAAAAACATATCACTGAGGCGGAGCATTTTGTCTTGGAACCATGACTTTGCGTATGGCAAGTTCCCCCAAATAAATTCAGCAAAGAAAACAAAATCTGTCTATTTTACCTTCTTTGCCTCGTCCTTCTCTTCAAAAAATATCTTGACCACCGGGGCCGTGAGATCCTCAACTGTGGCAATGATGATGTCTATTTTGGTCGTCTCCTCGTTGTTGGCGCCATTCAAACCTGAGTCAAAAAGAAAGGAACAAAGTCTCTTTTAAATGAACTGATCTCTGCGTGGAGTGCACACTACTGACCCACTGATAATGCATAAGAATGCGCGGTTTCCCCAAAGCAGGTCTCTGATTGGTTTAGATGCTTATTGCCAACGATTTGTGACGTAGTCATCTGTTCGGCCTGTGAAACAGGGAATGCACACTATATTGACGCACTGATGATGCGCAGTTATAAACGGTTTCGCAAAAGCAGGTCTTTGATTGGTTCGGGTGTCATAGTGTTGATGTTTGCACGCTAAACAGGATGTGCGTTCGACACGGGGCAACCCAAACGTGGGGCTGTGCTGTGTCAGACAGGCGAGACGGTGGAAACGAGGTTAAATCCAAGCAAGTCGTGGTAGCTCATTGGAAGCACTCATACAACCTTTGAAACCGGAAGTCTTTACTTTGCCATGCCTGTACGTCTTTCTGGTAGAAAGGCCTTACAATGTATATCCAAACCCCGTCAACGCCTTGAGAGTGACAGCGGGTCCATCTCTGGCCGATGAGCTGTGTCAGTATGTACGAACGTTTAATTCTTGAACTAAAAGTAGGCCTACATTCCCCAAAATTTGGTTTCATGTTATTTCATGCGTCTATTAGTGTCGGACCTCAGAATCTTGATTGGATAATTTATTACTGCTATAATAGGCACAATGTCTCCGGCCTGCACGAATAAAATTTAAGGGCTGAGGAGCGTTAAGGTTTTAGTGTCTCTCTCTCTATAATTTTCGATCTTTGGTGAGCTTCAAAGTTGGTACAAGCAGTAGGCCTACATCTGTTCGAAAAGCGAGGCCCTAGCGCTTACCAGCGATACGACATAGGTTCTGAGATAGAATATGGCTTCCGGAATAGCGGTGATCCGTCGGGACCGACGGAACACTTGATCTAATTCTGGAACCCCAGATACTTACCAAACTCCCTGGCCAGAAATCCATGAATAGCCCGGCTCTGAGGCAAGCGTTTACCGTCTACTTCCAGGTAGGGAAGTTGCTGGAACGGAGCATCTGAATCGAGCGAGAAGAAACACATCAAGCCAGCTGCACACGACAGCTACTTGCTGAGCAAAACGGTCAATGTTTGGCCGGTGGCTCAACACGTATAGCTCACTGTGTGTGGTCAACTGTTGGTGTTTTTTTTCTGCTTGGCGAGGCCGTTTCAGAAATCAAAAGGACAGATTTAGTCTCATAGCCTGCAAAACACAATAAGTGCAGCGTAAGTTTTTGCATCCCGGCTTGCAAAAGGTTTGATTGCCTCATTCCCCAAAATTGATGAATGGCTCTCCACAATGTGGAAGCCTGGCGGTTGATTTGACTAGATCTTACACAGTGCCATATGGCTAAATTTCTCGGACAAACACGACCGCCTGTAACGATGTGTCATCCATACTTTAGACTGGGGCCTACATGCTTGGATGTCATTCTGAAATTCGACATTCTCCAAACCTCGATCTCACCCGCTTTGTGCCGGGCCCACTCCTCGTAAGAGTAGCGGACATCCTCGAATTTCTGGCCGACGTGAGCCAAGATCAGCCGGGTCGTCTCTGCCCTGCCGCGGCTGTTGAAGTAAACCAATTTGTAGGACGGCATCGTGGGAACCAAGGTGAAACGACAGCTTACAGCTCAATGGTAGATCATTCAGAACCTTGTGCCAATGATTTCTATAAATGCTGCTGTTTTATACCACCGGGGTAGCGAGGTGCTTGAAAAACTGGTTACACATTAACTCTCTGTGCAAACAGTCCCCCCTTCTTTCTGTCTTTTTATTTAGGAGCCACGTCATTGATCTATTGAAGGTACCCTGGGATGTCAGTCAAAAATGTTGCCAATTTTGCTGTTTCATAGTTTTGATTTTTCGATAAGCAAATCCACAGCATAAATGATTCCACACCTTTCGCAGACTTACAAAGGCAATTATCAGTAAAAGTGTAGAATAATAAAGACCTGCAAAAGTAATTGAGGAATTGCTTTGAATTGATTGGCCAAGGACATACTAACGAACATGGACATAATATACATGTTATTCAGTACAAGGCCTTCAAAGCGTGGATAATACACGTGAATTTCCGGTGGGGTGAGATAAATTTACACTGCCATAAAGGTGACGTCAATTCATTATAAATGCCTCCAGTGCATGCTCTCACCAAAGATTGCAAATGCATTTTGATTCAACAATACTCTATTGAGGTTCCTGTGTAGCCATGTCTTTGTAATTTGATAATTTAGCCAAACAGAGCAAGGTTCAACACGCACGATTTGCAATATCACTCTGTCAACGACAAAGTCTAACCAGCAAACGCTATACATACTCATAGGGCACTCGACCTTTACAAAAGAAACGCGCTTTATTTCTGAAATGTTGACTAACCCAGTCGCTAAGATACATTGTATACGGTACGAGAGCAGGGGTGAATCTAGAATTTTCTGAGGGAGGGTCAAGGAAATTTTGGTCGTGCAAGGGGGGGGGTCACTACATGTAGTTGTCGCCTTGGTGAAGCTCTTTGAAACTCTTTGCTTTGTTCTTAAACGTAAATGCAAACTATGGTTTATGCTTTTTGGCGGGTCTTCCGAGTCTTAAGATGTAGCCCGCCCCCCGAAGAAATGGCAATGAGCGGGGAGAGGGGCGGTTCACCAGCGTCGGGGGGGGGGTTGTGGTAACACTGTGGAAGTTAATCTGTTCGACTTTTGTGGTTCTGAAAACTGTTATTTTTAACTCGACGTCTCGAACATCAAGAATGCACATAGTTTATCTTTGGGGTTTGTAGTTGGTTTATTGAAAGCTGCATGTGATAGAGACTTGCTGAAATTAGAATTAAGGCAATATTTAGCTGTCAATAAAATGCACTGAAACTATCCATCCTTGGGTTCCCACTACCGAACCCACACTTTACTAAAGATTCGTAGTTCCGAATAAACACTTACGAAGTAGACATTCTTTTTGCCGAATCCCAATTTCTAACGATAGCGTGCCGTTATAGCAATGGTTAGCAAAGCTTTTTTGCACTGAAAGCGGTCCCTGTGTTGCCTACTGGTCGAAATGATAAAAATTAATTCTTTTCTTGTCGTAATGACAAAATATTGACAACATTCCAAGAAAACGTAAGCTCATGCTTGTGGCGCCCCCAAGCCTTGATTTACGCCGACTAATTTGATAGTGGAGTGCAGTAAGACGTTTGTAGTACATAGCAGGGGTTCGTATCCCGTCAGAGCAAGCGCGTTTCTGAGAAGTGGATAGTTATCAGAGACACCCAGGCAAAACAGGGTCTTTTCAACCCGATAACCTTATGTTATGTAGGGGGCAACTTTGGAATGGGTTTCTTAGAATATCCTGTGCTGCGAAACTTTTGTGAGGCTTTTCATAAAGAGGGGTATGAATGCACTCGTTAAGTACAGCAAGGAATTTATGCACCACTCTGTCAGTATTAAGGTCATGACAGGCATTTACCTTAAATGAGGTGGTATTACTACCTAAAACATTGTCAGGTAAGGTCTTAGGTGCTTGGAAAGACGTAACTCTATCAAAATAATAATATATCTACTCTCCTGTAAAACTTTAAAAAAATACCATGCATGTCCTTCGAAGTTTAAAAAAGCCTGATTTCATTACCCTTCCCTCTACATATTGCAGCATCTTCAACTAATTAAAGCCTATCATTGTAACATACAGGCCACCGTATTCTTTCTACTACATGGCAAGCAATGTCAGCAAAAGTATAAACCTCCACACTTGACATTATCAATTAGTTTTACTACGTAGCAGTGAAATGTTATTAGACATTTGTCTTCCCTTTCATTTCTTGAATAACCACAGCATGAAGGTGAGTCAGACAGCAAATGGCTAGTTTTTGTGTTTAAATGTGCTTCTATGATCAATCGGCGAAAAGAGACAAATGTGTTGCAAAATGAGGCGTCGAAACATGAATGTTGTAAACATGAGGGAAGCTAAGCCGTCTTGTGTACATGTATTTGATTTTGTTTTCACCCGTTAGTCAAGAAGACTGAACTTATTGTGTTTGGGGGCGATTTTTCAAGTAAGCAGCGATCTTGGGGTCTTTGGCAACACGTTCCTTCAGGCTGTAGAGCTTCGGGTACTCTTTCAAGACGTCGTCTTTAAGGCTTAATTCCATGCTCACGTAGAAGACGATGTCAGCTCGCGAGATCTGAAAATAACAGCGAATCAAACTGCGAAATTGATAACATTGAAGCGGCCTGAATGGCGGCCAGGGGCTTTGTTGACTATTTTGCATGGTATTTTCTATATTTCCAAGGAACTTACACAAACCCTCTCCGTGGCATGCAACGGGACATGAGAAAACATGAAAATGCCAGGGAATGAGGCTGTGTATTGATGAAATCGCTTTCCAGTATCACGGTCATTATGTGGGTACTGCGTTATGGACAGGATAATGTTGTTTCCCTCCTGGAGGTTTGATGGGATTTTTAGGTCATATTAATACGTGCGATTCACAATAGTGCGCCTCCACGAGTTCGCAACGCGTCGACCAATCACAGAGCGCGAAATCTGTCGACCCTTTCCAAACGCGCACTGGGTCGACAGATTTCGCGCTCTGTGATCGGTCAACGCGTTGCAAACTCTTGAAGGGGCACCATTGTGAAACGCCCGTATTGAAGCGGAAATCCTTCGGGCAAGCACTTAAGAATAATCTTCTTTGCTCGACGTTCTGTTGTGCGTTGCTCTTTCTTTCGATGTATTACTAGATAATTTGTTTACTTAGGCCCCCTGGGGGTAACTTTGGCACAAGCCACACCCCTTGGTTGTAGTCGTCATATCTTTTCAACGCGCTATATGAATGATATAAGATTTTCTCAAAGGATTCTATGAAAGATTTTTTATCATGAAATACTGCTGGAAGCTTGACCTGAAGGAGTTTTCATGTGTAAGACTTCGTTATAATCTTTTTCAATGTTTTTTCGTTTAAATTCCAGCAGCCTGTCAGAGTTGCCCCAAACCACGGGGTGACTTTGGAAGCACCCAACTAAACTCTAACTCACAACTGAAAGAAGTGGATGGATGTTTGCTACTACTAGACTAAACTGAAGGCTTAATGTGACAAACAGATCCTCTCAACAATGACAAATAATTTCTGTTTTAGGAAAAGCAGAAGTGATCAGGATTTTGATCTGCCAAAGTTACCCCAGCAACCTGTCGCCCGTGGTGCATTGTGGTACATGCGTTTCCATCTAAAAAGTCTTGTGAGAAGGCTGAAGGCCCCTAGATAGTTCGATGGGTAGTAGAAAAGTTACCTTAGAACCGACGAAGAAGCCATCACCGCCGTTGTTTGTTTTCAAGATATCCTCCAACCCTTTCAGAAATCGAGGAGCTGTCTCGCCGTAGTAAGTGGCCGATAGTTCCTTCTATACAGCGAAGTAGACAAATCAGGATAACTAGTTAATAGGTGTTTAACAAAGATAACTCTCCTATAAATTCAGTTTAATGTACGCCGACCATAGGCTTTTTCATATTCCCGTCGAGATGGTTTCAAATGCGTCAAATGACTCTCCATTCGTACCAGTAGCTTTAAAAATGTTTAAGCAAGCTGGCTAGTGTTTCCTATCACAAAATTATTCCGTCACTTCGAAGTATGGTGGTTCAGACAGAAAATCATCCGTCAAGGCTCGGCACTGTACAGAATTATGGCAAGGAGTCGTGGCGGTGCAGAGGTTGCGCCCGTGCATTTCCATCATCATTGCTCAAATCCTGTTAAGACCCAAAATCGTCGAGTGCCTTCTCCCAAGTTATTACCTTATTGCACTTTTTGTTCTGTCCAATTAATTACCAGGCTCGCGGGTACCTTCAGTTGTGGTGGAATACCGTGACTTCGACTTCTTCGTACCATAGCCTACCAGGTTTCTATAAATCCCTCCGTGGATATCTTGGTCACAAATTGATGCACAGTTTTCATGAAAATCATTCTGTTGGGACGGACACACTGAAAATACTTGCATACCTTCTTGACTTCGTCTTTCTCGTAGAAGATCTTGCCCAGCGGATCCATGATATCCTTGAGGACGGCAGTAACCAAGTCAATTGTGGTCGTCTCCTCGTTACTGGCCCCGTTCAAACCTACAAAAAGGAGGAGAACATGCTTCAAGTAACTTCCATTATCAATCGATCTTTTTTCGGGGGGGGGGAGGGGAATAGCAGCTCACTTAAAGTGACTGTGTCGAAACATCTGTGCTTATCACAACTATGCCCCGGCCGCATAGCACTACCTACGATCATCATTTTGACAAAACTCTGTTTTCACAAATAGGCCACTACGTAAATTATGCAAACCTCTTCTGTCTTACAACAGCACAATTTTCTGACCATTTTGATTTTTATTTCATATAAAGTAAGCTTTTGAAGTTGTTCCAAGCACGATTTATAGCTGCCGAAGAGTTAATATTAACACACGGCCATTATTTGTACAAAACAGCGAAAGCAATACAACATGCTCACGTACCGAACTCCCTGGCCACGAAGCCCTCGATCACACGACTCTGAGGGATAATCTTCCCGTCGACTTCCAAGTATGGTAGCTGCTGAAATGGGGTCGCTGAGGCAGGAATAAACAAAACTTTAAGACACACAGTTAGTTTCTAATCTAAGCGGGATTTTTCGTGCGCTGTAAACAGACTTTACAAAAGTGATAGTCCTGTGCGCACAAGACTAAGGGAGAAAAATCCAGCCTAGATTAGAAACTAAAAGAAAAAAAACCATTTAATGGGATTTTCTGAAGAAAAAATGAACAAAGTCAGAACACCTAGGAGAAAAGGATCAAAATCGCACCCTTGTACGTTTTAAATGGCCCTTGCCGCCAAGGCCATCTGTGGGCATGCGTGCTAAATTACGATTTTATTAGTGAAAAGGTCTAGGCCTATAGTAATTACACGATTCAATGGCCTGGCTGTCGTTTTTGAAAATGTTGGCTTTTATTTAACTCCAGTCTGAGGTTCACGAGGCTGTATTGACATAATGTGTGGGTTTTCATAAAATGGATTCACGCACCACTTGTCTGTTATGCATGAAGCACATAAGCGATATGTGGTGAGGTTCCCTTCCTGCATGTTTGACGTCACAGGTCGTGACACATTCACCGCGCCGATTCTATTGTTACCAGGCAGTGGAGTGCTCCTCCCAGTGCATGCTTCAATTGGCCCAGACCAAATATGGACCTGGCTGATCCACGTTGTCGTATCTTCTGGGTAATGCACATACTGTACATTTTATTTGTTGCAACTTGTCAGGCAGAAATTTCATAACCGTCTATTTTGTCGTGGTTTTTAATGAGCCAGTTCAGTATTTCGAAAAGCCAAGGCCTGTCGGGAAAGAAGCGCATGCGTGAGTCGGTGCATGGCTGTGCTGTTAGGACATGTCGAGCGCGAGCTTCCGAGTAGGCAGTGGTGTAAATTTGTGCCGAACATGGGGGATGGAGCGTGGGCAATCATTGGAGGGGGGGGGGGCTTGCCTCGGACATTTGGAAAGCGAGAGGGGGGTGCTGAATCATATGACAGTATGTAGGGGAGCAATGTTCATGATACGGATGTACATATGTGATTATCTATTACATTTATGCAGAATCTTACATCATCATTGATTATTCTTATTTTTTGAATGTTAATCAATACATATTGGTTGTTGGAAGTCCGAAAAACTCTTCACAATGCACCTTATTTTTTTTCTCACCAGGGAAAAGTGTTTTTTAGGGGGGTGATTCAGTAGCCCATGCCCACGGTGGTAAAAAAAAGTCCGGGTAAACTTCCCATCCCCTGGGATTTACGCCCTTGCTGGTAGCCCTATGCATGGAGTTGAGACTTGTTCGAGAAGCAGGCTCATTCGGATGGGATCTACACGTTATTATCTACGTTCTCAACTATAGCGAATCGTTGCAAGTCTGGCCCTACTTACTCGGCTTGTGCTTGACCCACTCTTCGGAGCTGTAGCGGACGTCTTCGAACTTCTGGCCCACGTAATTAAGCATCATGCGGGTCGGCTCTGCCCTCCCGCGGATATTGAAGTACACAAGTTTGTAGGAAGGCATCCTTGTTGGATGATGCGTGGAGCAAGGCTGCACCTGACTTGTTCGCTCAGTAGGCTACCGTAGAATCGACTGCAGAGATAAATTCCCCTCACCCCGCTACTCATAGATATAAAGTTCTATGTAAATTTACATAATACTTCTATTGTATGGAGCGTGCGCGCATTTATTCTCGCTTTAGAAAGGGTCAAGGGTATAGCTTGGTGACCTCTTTTCAAAATGTGCCAACTCATGGTGTCAGTCTTCGTTCCAGACGGATCTGAACGCAAAGCTGCTCTGCGCCCCTCACTACCACTCCAGAAAAGGATTTGCGGCTAGATGTCCAACTATACTGTATTTGTGATCAGGCACCACAGCAAGATTTCCTATAATTTTCAGCTCGGGGCGGCACTAAGATCCCCTTTTAACACGTCGGATCAGTCAGCCGCGGAAAAAAATGCATTCCCATTATGGCCTACGCATGCTGTGGGAAATCAGTCGTGTAGATTACAATGTAGGCGAGTGTTCATTTACACTCGGGACAGATCCCGCCTGACGAGATTTTGTTGCCAAGGTCATTTGAAAAGTTAAGGTGACACGCGTGTCAGCCCGCGTGGAATGAACATGTAAAGGAAAATGATTCTACCTCAATGGTTTGCACTGTCTCGGAAAAAAAGAATCGCGAACTGGCTTATACCAACAGGAAACTCAAATGTAGTTGTATTGTACGGTTGAAAGCACTCACACGAATTTAGCTTCCCAGCTCTACAGTCTTTGTTGTATGCACAAAGGGAATTTAACAACTCTTTTAATACCCTGTCGGTATGAATGTTCTGTCACTGCCTATTTTGGCAACTGTTGCAAAGTTTGTATAGACAGAAATGGAATAAATCTAATGCATAATTTGATGATCACTCTGCCAACAGAAACCTCTCACCGGCAACGTGTAATTTACATATACAGGGTACCGGCGACCTTTAAAAAGAAGCCCAGTACTTACAATGTTGGATCCAGGATTTTGTTGCTGGGGGGGGGGAATTTCAGTTTGTGCAAGGGGGGAGGTACTACCTGTTGTCCTTTTAATGAAGTCATCTCTTTGCTTTGTTGTTAACCATATATACGCAAAATAAGTCTTCTACATTATTATGCTTTTAGGGGGTCTTCTTTAAGACATAGCCCCTCCCCCAAATGGGAATGAGTGGGGGAGGAGGTTGACCCCCGACCCGTGGGTCCGCTCCATGGGGGTTTGCGGTGACGTCGTGGTGGTTAATCCTTTTTTCAGTTCTGTGGTTCTGAGGTTTGGTTGTTTCAACTCGAACTCTCGAACATCAGGAATGTATAGGCCTACATGAACTTTTTCACCATCGAGGCCTTAGTGTCGGACTTTTTGAGCAAGCTCTCCCTGACCCCTCCCCATCTCACACCTCGCCCGAAAAGGTTTGGGCGTTTCAAGTACACTTTAAAAAAATATAACCTAGAAAATCGTATGGGATTGAACGTTACCCAAAGCAGAGTTGTTTATGAGTGCTTCAATTGTCAGACCCAAAATCATGGATTACGTGTCGGTGCACATGGACAATTACCTGCATACTGTACTGTACGAACATCCATTCTGGTTCCAAAGGCTGAAGTCGGCGCTACTCTCTCTCTCTCTATATAACTCTGACCCAAAGCAGCCTAGTATACGAAGCTGTAAATACAAAACCAAGAGTGCCATACAATTTTAAGTCGTTTAAACACCTTACTGAGTTAAAACTAGATAAGTCCTTCAAACGAGATCCTTTCAAATTATTTTTTTCTACGTTGGCAGTGGTACGCTTCTGTAGGAATATAGGCCTACCTCAGAAAAGGGATTTTTTCCAAAAAGAATGGTTCTTAAAATATACCTCGTAAGAGCGAACTTGGAAAAAATCACACGAAAACGAACTTCAAAAATATACATGTACTCCATTTTTTGAAGATGTGTACTTGATGGCACTACAAGGCTTCCGTACTCCCCGCTATACTCCCTCCCCCTGTGATACATGTGATACATTGGTTTATTTTTAGTCTATAATGAAATTGAAAACTGCACGTACATGTAGTAGGGACTTGTAGTAAAGGATTGAGCCAATATTCAGATGTCGATTTGTTCGAAATGAGCAAAGAAAAATGATGCGTGGGCTCCCAATTCTGAATCCACACTCTACTATGAAAAGATTCATAGTTCCGAATAAACACTTACGCTCACGAATTAGCAATCCATTCTTCCGAAA